TTTTTTTTTTTTTTTTTTTTTTTTTTTTTTTTTTTTTTTTTTTTTTTGAGGTGAACATAAAAAAAAGAATGAAAACAGTAGCATGCTCCCTCTGGGTTTGGGATGAGTCTCGTCACGAGTAATGGCAATGGAGCAAGTCTTGATCCAGGTTAGATTTACTTGTCATATGCAAAATCAACACAAGGTCAACAATGTAATGAAATGCTTAGGACGAGAAGAACCGTCTCGACTCGCCATAAAAAAGAAACAAGAAAATAACAACAAGAAATATCAAATCATGCAGCACAATACTAAAAACATACAAAAAATAAATACTACTAACATGCTATGAAAAACATATAAAAAAATACTTCTAACATGTTCAGAAAAACATATTAAAAATACTACTAATATACTAAAAAAAACAGGCGCCAAAGGTGAAAAAGTTATTTTCAACAAACCAACAAAGTCCATGCTTCTTTTCAACAAATTCAACAAATCATGGCTTCATCTGCTGTTGCTTCTGGAGTTGCTCCTGTCTGTAATATTAAAGGAAAAGCTGAAAGTGAAGCTCACAATTCACACTTCCATTTACATTCCATCCATTCATCCATTAGCTTTACCCGCTTCTTCCTTTCCGGGTCACAGGGGTCACTGGTGCCCATATCCAGCAGTTGTTGTGTGAGAGGTGAGGTACACCTTGGACAGGTCTCTAGTCCATCTACATTCCAACATTCCTGTCTAAAGCATGGAAGGTCTGGCATTTCTTGAAGGAATGCAAATTTCTTGCTGCCTTTCATTCCAGCGTTTTAAACAGAGTCCCTGCTGAGAAGGAACAGAGTTATGTTTTAGTCTAACCTTATTCACGGCACTGTAATGTGTTCTGACTCTTAGCATCTGACCCATAAAACTTCAGCTCAGCATCTGTTAGTGTGACCTTCTTTTTTGTTTTGGATTAGGTTGATTAGCTGTGGCGGCTGTGGTAGCCATCTTGAATTGACGGAATCCAAAAGTTAATCATTGATTTGCATTCAATAATTACGTTTTCAAGTTCTTAAGATATTTTGAGATGGTTCATAAAATCTTGTGCAATGCATTTTATAGTTTGTGTTAAGAATTACTCTCAGGAGCTATACACCACTTTTAGCTTAATATCTGTCACATTGTCAAGGTTTTAACCACTTTTCTGTTTGTTAAAGTTACTTAGCTGTGGAGACCATTTTGAATGGGATTGACTTCAAAAGTTGACAAGTTGTAGATGTACATACAATACTTTAGAGTTTTATCAAAATATTTTGGTATGTTACTAATACAATAAATGAAGACACGCATAGAAACAGGCACAAACATTATTAGCCTTTCACCTTCACCATCATGAAATCATAAGAGAAGATCTAAGAAGAAAAACAATATTTTTGTTTATGTAACATTATTACAATTACAGCTACATATATTTTTTGAAGTCGTACTGTTTAATTTACCAAATTTCAGTTTTATTGTTAGTATTATCTTTGTCTTTTAATTAATTATTTTTTGTACAATGGGGCGGCTGTGGCTGAGTGGTTAGAGCAGTCATCCTCCAAAGCAAGAGTTGGGGGTCGAATCCACCAGCAGTCAAAATGTCAAAGTGTCCCTGGGCAAGACACTGAACCCCTCATAGCCTCTGATGTGTGTCCCATCGGTGTATGAATGTGATAAAGCACTGATTAGTCTCTTTAGAATGATTTGTTCAATTAGCTTTTGTAGAGATCTAGTAGAGTGCTGTATGAATGGGTAAATGAGGACACAGATTGTAGTGTAAAGCGCTTTGAGTGTTTTAAATAAGATAGAAAGGCGCTATATAAGTGCAGTCCATTTACTATTTACCATTTACAATAAATTAATAGCCACATATTTGCATCTATTTAAAGGAATGCACTTAAATCCTGCAGAAAGTTGCTAATAGATCATGACTCAGGCAGTCCATGAGTGCCATCTTGTGGTATTTATATTCTACAACACTGGTCGCTCATTTTGAGATATTTAGGTTTTATCAATCAAAATGTCAATTTTTAACAAAACTACTTCATGTGCATTTGGTCTCAACATGTAAAGGACATATATTACTATGGATTTTTTATTTTATTTTTTTATATGCCTGACAGAGAATGGAGGATTTCGAGCCAAGATGTATGACATTACTCAGCACCCCTTCTTCAAACGAGGCATTGCTGTGCTGGTGTTGGCTCAGTCTGTCTTGCTTTCAGTCAAGGTAACACCTGAACAATTTGGTTGTATTGTTCTTTGTTTGATCCTGTTATCGTCTAATGCTTTTGTTTGTATTTTATGTGAAATGACATAAACACACCTGGATGTGCTCCTGTTAGTGGGACAAAGATGATGCTCAGGTGACATATCCACTCGCCACCATGTCTGTAGTGTTCACCTTTATATTTGTACTGGAGGTGAGTGTGTGTTCTACCTGTGCACCTGTCCCACCACAGATTTTCATCACTTTTTCTGATTTAATTCATTGTGGTTTTCTAGGTGACGATGAAGCTGATAGCCATGTCACCAGCAGGTTACTGGCAGAGCCGGCGGAATCGTTATGACCTGTTGGTCACATCACTGGGCGTCATCTGGATAGTTTTGCACTTTTCCTTACTGGTTAGAAAAATACATACGTTTTATTGGTGGATTCTGAAAGATGAGGGAACAAAGTAACTACATGTAGGTGTGTAATTTTTTCCTGTAGAATGCTTATACATACATGATGGGCACATGTGTGATCGTCTTCAGGTTCTTCACGATATGTGGCAAACATGTGAGTGTGCTTAGGTTCATCTAAGTCTGCTCTTTACTGGAAACAGGAATATGATTTCTAATATGTTTATGTCTGTGATCTGTAAAGGTGACACTGAAGATGCTGCTGCTTACTGTAGTAGTAAGCATGTATAAGAGCTTCTTTATTATTGTGGGGATGTTTCTTCTCCTCCTCTGCTACGCTTTTGCTGGTGTCGTTCTCTTTGGAACTGTCAAATACGGAGAGAACATAAACCGGTAAACTTGGCATTTCCCAAACTTCTTATATAGCTGCATTTTTCTGCTAACTAACACAGGCTGTGAACTGCAAATACAGTTAGGATGTGTGTTCAGAACATTGGCTGATTTTTGTCTGTGTCTCCAAATCACAGGCATGCCAACTTCTCCACAGCGGGCAAAGCGATCACTGTTCTCTTCAGGATCGTCACCGGGGAAGACTGGAACAAAATCATGCATGACTGCATGGTAAGAGAGGCTTCAAGTTCAGTGCACATCACACGGCTGATAAAGGAGCAGAATAAAGGAAACTTAATTCCTAATTTGTGGAAATAATTTTCTGTTTAGAGTGTTGCTAAAAAATAACAAGCAATGCAGTCATTTTCTGTTGCTTGTGTTTGTACTGTATACCTTACTGTTCTCAGCAGTTTCACTCAAGCTGCTATAGAAAAAAACAACTATTACCACTAGATAGTGTCAAAATGTTTGCAATAATAGCAACTTTAGGTACTGCTCTGTTATTAGCAGCTACTATACATTCATTTGTTAACATATGTTTTGTTTTATGGACTCATTGGTTGAGGTAAATTGAGTTTATTTGTTCTGTGTGAATGTTTGTCCCCAGGTCCAGGCTCCATTCTGTACCCCAGACAAGCATCGCTACTGGGAGACTGACTGTGGCAACTATGCAGGAGCACTTATTTACTTCTGTTCTTTTTATGTCATCATAGCCTACATTATGTTGAACCTACTTGTAGGTCAGTGGTTTTGCTTGTTCTGCCTATCTGTTTCATTCCACATGTATTCAAGGGCAATAAACCAGATTCCAGGAGTCAGCCTGTTTTATGCTATAGTTACAACAATCCAAAAGTGTTCGAGCTCAATGTCTTTACCTTTCTTACCATTGATTCTTTCTTTTTTTTTCACACTCCAATTATCTCTGGCCTTTTTGAAAAAAAAAAAAAAATAGATAAAACCTTATGCTTGACTTAGGGAATGCCACTAAACTATATTGTGACAAGACTGTAAATATTGGACATGTAAAGTAGATTTTCTGACCATTGCTGCTTAATGCATTTAACATGAAAACATTGAGTGTGGGTTATCTTTAGCTATAAAAGCTATATACATAAACTGTTATTGTTGTGGCATGAAAAGTTTGTATTGTCAGCAAACAACCTGTTTATTTTCATTTTAATGTTTCACAAAGAGAGGACTGCAGTTTACCTCACATTGAAGGGTTGTAAGCAGTTTGTCAAGTAGGGCAAGAGGGTCGATACGTTTTTAGCTGGACTGTTGTGTTCATTAGGTCCTAAATAAATCTAAAATACAGCAGATTAATTTGCATTTTGTATTAAGTTGATGTCTATGAGTAATGGTATGTAAACCACTCTGGTATTGTTTATATTGTTTATATGAAATGTCTGTCTGTTGCTATTTTCTGTTACTACAGCCATCATTGTGGAGAACTTCTCTCTGTTCTATTCCACTGAGGAGGACCAGCTGCTGAGTTATAATGACCTGAGGCACTTCCAAATCATCTGGAACATGGTGGATGACAAACGGGAGGTGAGAAATTAGAAGCAGCAGGCACAATGTGAAGACTGTATAGGACAGTATAGGTCATTATAGAGGAGATAAAACTACTAAAGGGGACAGAGTGCAGTTTTCAGTAATGGGGGTGAAGGTAATTGGATGTGTAGGTGTTTAATTAAAAGTGGACTTTCTTTTAACTCAACATTACATGGAGCAATACCCAGAGCAAGTGTATAAGCATTAGTGTGTACATTTGGACTTTGCATCCTTCTGCAGTTCACAAGGTTCTTAATAATTTGTAATTTCACTTCTTAGTTACAGCCTTGGAGTCAAAGCCCATTTGTATTCTGTTATTTGCTCTAAACGAGTCCCTGTGGCTGCTTCTGCAGGGTGTGATCCCGACATCCAGAGTGAAGTTTCTGCTCCGTCTACTCAGAGGCAGGCTGGAAGTGGACCTGGACAAGGACAAGCTGTTGTTTAAACACATGTGTTATGAAATGGAGCGACTTCACAATGGAGGAGATGTGACCTTCCATGATGTGCTCAGGTGAGAATGAAAAACTCCACATTTTTATTTAAAAACTCAGAATATTTAAATACAATCATCTAAGTTACTCTTTAGATTTAAAACCTTTTGGATACATGAATTTGAGTAGTGAGATTAGACACAACAGCTCACAATAAGATTAATAGGACCCATATGTTCCTCTGAATAACATACACATGTAGAAACTTAAACATGATTAATGTGAGAGCAATCAACACAAATATCTGTCAGATGTTTTATGGACCGATAGAATGAGAGTGACTCTTGGTGGAGAAGGTGGATGAACCACTACTGGAAAAATCTTAGAATCAGTCGTTCAGATGAGTGGTACCTGATGTGTTGTCATCATCAAATAAATGGTTGACAGACTGTTACTGGTTTGAGATGTAACAAAAACCCACTTATATCCTATGCAAGTTTATGGTAAATTTCATAAGATTTATTTGCAATAAAATGTCAATATGAAAAGAAACTTTAAAAAAAAATACTGGATTTGATTGATGGTTAAAGCTCCAGTACATACATCACTCTGCTCTTTAACTTAGCTTGCAAGCAAACACCATAACAATATATTTGTTAGATTTGTAGATTTTAACCTTCCGTCTTACTTGATTTTAATTGATTTAAGACATGGGTACTTCTAAATCTTCAAACAGCTTGTGTGAGGCTGTGGTCTCTGCTTCAAGAAAACATTATGTATTAAAAAAACTTGAAAAATTGGCACAACTCTTGGTCAATCTACTTTGTATATCATATGCGTCAAACTAAAGGCTCCGGGGCCAAATGTGGCCCTCGTTGACATCTTATCTGGCCCCCAAGATGTTATTTTAAATGTGAAATACTTTTATCACTTTAATTTGTTTCAGTAATCTTTGATTATGATGTCAAAAGTGCAACAGAGAACATCAAATGAGACCAGTCAAACTATTGTTGAGGAATCTGCAACCAAGAAAAGATGTTGGGTATCTTGTCTTAATGTAGATTCTGAAACAGACCCTTAGTTTGAAAAAGGTTTTAATTTTGGCCCCTTTTTGTAAGTGGGTTTGGTTTGACACCCCTGATCTATATTATTAAAAGAGTAAGTTAGGATTTTTAATTATTACTTTGTGTCTTCTGTGTACAGAATCTAAGAGAGGACATGCTTATTTTTTTTTTTTTGGTAACATTATCTCAAAGTAATGTTATTTATGTTTTTTGATAAAAAACATATTTTGCCCTGATACATTCATAGTAGAGTAAAGCTTGTTTTGTTTTCTAAACAGCACTTTAATTAATTTTGTTATTTTGACCTAGAAAAACAAATTTTCTATTAAATATTAAAATAATTGAATATATTATTTGAAACATTTAGGTTTTAAAACCATTTTAGATTTACCCAGCTGTTATATCTGTTCAACAACAAATGCACCTTATATAAATTCAATTTTGATAATAGCCATTGTTTCTTTTAAATGATGCAATGAAATAAAGGGTATACGTACATGATCAGTTCATCTAAAAAACATAAAACAAGACAGACGATGTGTCTCCACCTACATTTGTTGGCCAACATTGAGTCCATAAAATCCATTTTATGGATGTTGCCATCTTGTATTATTGGAACCCGAGTCTGTCATGTAAGACCACAAATACTGCCACCCCAAACCCTCTCTCCTCACATGTGCGCTCACACACACGCACACACATTCATGTTTTGTTAGGCTTCAAATAACTAAATACAGCCAAAACATCCATCCATTATCTTTATCTGCTCCTTCCTTTTCGGGTCACAGGGATCACTGGTGCCCATATCCAGCAGTCACTGAGTGAGCAGGGGGGCACCCTGGACAGATCGCAAGTACCGTAATTTCCAGATTATTGAGCACACTTGAATATAAACTGCTCCCACTAAATTTAAAACGAAAGAAATTTGTACACACACACACACACACACACATATATATATATATATATATATATTTTATTTTTTTTTTTTTTTCTTTTTTTTCATTTACCCTTTATTTATGCAGGTAGTCTCATTGAGCCACGAGAACTCATTTTCAAGAGAGACCTGTTTAGGGAGCAGATGGTGGGGGTTAAGGGCCTTGCTCAGGGGCCCAGAGTGGAGTGAATGGGGGTCGAGGGAGGTGTGGGTGTTCCACCTTTTCCACCCACATTTTGATGTTGATGGTACCGGGCGTTGAACCTGCGACTTTCCGATCACAGGCCCATCTTCTAACCTCTTGCGCCACCACTCCCACATATATAGATCGCACTTGTCTATAAGCCGCATGTGACCACGTTGTAACATGAGATATTTACTCAGAAAGACTTTTTAAACTTTTAATTAAATACGTAACATACACAAATAAGTACTTTTTTTTTTTTTTTTCTGAACAGTGCCAGTAACACAGCTGGTTACAAAATAAAATAAAATACAGAAGCCTACCAGAAAGTCATTGATCACTATCTTCCTCCAGTGCACTGCGCCTTTGAGTGCGCAGCTGCCTTTCGAATCTTGTTGGTGATAGATTTTTATTTTTTTTTTACTCTGCTCCGCTGTCAGGATCCACTGGTAGACTTGAACAAAAGTTGCTCTTCACATGTAGCCAGTTTTGGTAAACGATTTCTCGCCGCTAGTCATCCAAGTCTCCCACTGAGCTTAGAGTGTCATTTTAAATGCAGATTCACACTTATTTAGAGAAACTTCATCCCCCCCGTTTGTGTTTGTGTGTGTTGCAGCATGCTGTCATATCGCTCGGTGGATATTAGGAAGTCTCTCCAGCTGGAGGAGCTGTTGGCCAGAGAACAGCTGGAGTACACCATTGAAGAGGAGGTTGCCAAGCAGACCATTCGCATGTGGCTCAAGAAATGCCTCAAACGCATCCGGGCGGTTCGTCTCAGCAGAAAACTCACAGCCGTGCTTAGCTGTTCTTATAGTATTTAAATCTGTGCATCTTATCTCATATGTCTCCGGTTCTCTGTGTGTGTGCACGTACAGAAGCAACAGCAGTCGTGCAGCATCATTCACAGCCTTAGAGAGAGCCAGCAGCAGGAGTTGAGCCGCTTCCTCAACCCTCCCAGCATAGAAACCACAGTGCCAAGTGAAGACCACAATACTAACAATGCAGACAACCCGTCTCAGCCTGAGGTAAAGCCCCACATCTAAACCACCACAGCCAGTGCACTCACACATGCTCACAGCTTGACGTTACGCAAGCACATCATATAATCTGCAGGTATGCTCTTGCACTGGTGCAACAAAGAATATATCCTCTTTGTTTAGATGAGTGGTCTCCAGCAGCTTCTGAGCCCCACGTTGTCAGACAGAGGAAGCTACAGGCAGGACTCCACAGACCTGGGGAGACCGCAGAGAAAGCTGGGACAGTGGCGGCTGCCTGCAGGTGTGTGAGCTTCTGTAGTCTGCCTTTCATGAGTGGAAGGGTTTTTTAGACAAAGCAACCAAAACTGTAACAAAGCATAACTTTTATGTGGATAACAAGGCAGACATTATGCATAACACAGGTTGAGATTTGTTTATTTAAAGTCAGTAGAAAACACTCTTACTTCCTGGCAAGTGGTGATCTCCTGCTGGTGTTGAAATGGGAAAATAAACACAACAGGTTTAGGCAGATATCTCATGATTCGGATGATATATTTGTGTTTGTTTGTTTGTGTTCTGTCAGGTCGCACAAGTGTGAAATCTATTGTGTGTAAGATGAACCCTGTCAATGACGAGGCTTCTTCGGGGTCAGAGGTGAAGAAGTGGTGGACACGTCAGCTGACTGTGGAGAGCGACGAGAGTGGAGATGACCTCATAGACATGTAGAGAGGTGCAGAGCCAACTGTGTAGGAAAGAATGCCCGCAAACCTTAATGGCCGAAGCAACATTGTAAAACGGAGTAGGCCAAAATTTCTCCACAACCATGTGAGACATGACATCAAACAGGATACTGACTTATTGCTGCAAATAGAAGTTCTACAAGCTGTTCAATCATGGAGTCTATTTAATTTTTCACACACAAACTTTTTCATTTTAGCTTTGTTTTTATTTAATCTGTCGTGTGTTTTTGTACACAAGTTGAGATTTAAATGATTTCAGAACCTGAAAATATCAGGTAATTTGTATTAAAGCGATAACGAGCATTAAAAACTGAAAACTGAAAAATGTTGGATTGTATACCTGGATTATTGAGCGTGGACTGTTGTTATAATGAGCATTAGTTTCACCTGACAAGAAGATCAGTTTTAAGAATGTCTCATGAATGCAAATAATTTGTAGTAACAGATTTAGCATATATCCTCTTTTATAAACAGTAATTTCATATATTATTTTGATTAAAAGTGATAGTTAATATCAGTTTATAAAACTGTATGCAGTTATCAGAGCCATGTGCTTTAGTTCGTGAAAACAACAACTTTTACACTTTTTATTGACATTGTTTGAAACCATGACATTAAGTAAAGCGTACAGACAAACTTGCAAAAATCTCAGCCGCTCTAAAATGACATAGCAACTAAACTAACATGAATTTGTTTTGTTGTATGAAAACTATGGTTGTTTTCAAAATATTAAACACAAAACACGTTAAATCTAGTAGTTCAGCTAAACTCTTGTTGTATTTTTGTCTCACTTGAGGCCTTTTTCACAATAGTATTTTTTTTTTTATTAACATTATTTTGGGGAATTAAAGAAAAAAGCTAAGAAAAATGATTGAAGCTTCGTCTTGTTCCATAGACTGTAGCTCACACTGCTGACCTCATTACTTATATGAATTATGATCAGACGGTTTCAAAATGTGCTGCTGCAAAGAATTATGGGATAGAATAATCTGTTATTTCACAAAGCATGCTACAGTGTTTCTTGAGCTTAAAGAAGATGAATAATAAAACACAGCAACTCCATTTCCTGAACATTTTGGAGAATTCAATTATCACTTACACAACTGATCCTGGAACAGCTCAGATTTTTTGTTCAATGAATTCAAAATCTTTCTGAGAAAAACTTTTTTTTTTTTTTTTTACCAGACCTACAGTGTTTCTGTCACTATTATTTAGTGTCCAGTTAACTTTATTTTATTTATTATTTATTTATTTATTTATTTATTTTTTTGGGGGGGGGGGTCCTGCTCTGTTATAGCTTCCATCTTCATTTAACGTGTATGATAATTTATTTACCTGTGTCTTAGTGTGTTTGTGTTATTTGACATATGTTTGCTTTATGAAAATGTCCCATGAATCAGTGGACAGATGAGACTCCAGAAAGTAATCACTGGATGTACGTCTAAAACATTTGAAGCCAATTCAATCTAAGACACCCAGTCAACTTTAACAAATGGAAAAAGAAGAATTAAAGTGATTTTCTGGATCATTTTATCAGCTCACAACAATTCAGAAGGTTTGACGGGTGTGTGTGTGATGAATCATTCAATCATCTGCCATTTTTGTCATGCAGGGGAGATTTTATACCATATATTGATGTTACTTTCCCAATGCTCATTTTTCTATGCAGGTATATCTGTTAAAGCAGAAGATTTATGGAGGCTACAGTGTATTTGTGAAGCAAATCAAGAAGCCAAGAAGCCATAGCCATGTTGTGTTTTATGTAGCTGTGTAGATATTTAAAGCAACTCTAGTCATTTCTGTTGTCTTTTGATGTAGATCCTTCATCTTTGTTCTTTGTTTCAGTGTTTCTGATAATGTCTCATGTTCATCGCTGGTGTTTACACTTTGGAACTGTCCTATAGTCACTTAACACAGAAATCAGACTTCTTGTTTTTGTTGTAAAACAAAAAAAGAAAAGGTGAAAGGATGTTGTACATTTATGACTGTGAATGTATAAATCAGTCTGTATTTGAGCAGCATTAAGTCAAACCATTTGTAAATTATTAGAATTCCTTATGTTTATAAACTGTTATAATAAAGGCCTGTTTGGCATTTATGAGTAGAGTGTGGTCATGCTCTGTCTTTCCAAAATGTTTACTGCTGCTTTAATCAGTTTAATATAAATCCCAAGGACAAAACAATATCAAATAAACAGTTGTTCTCCATCTCAAAGATTACAGCACATTAAAACACAGTTTTCCTTATTATTTGATAAGGAAAATAAAGTTAATGCTGTTTTCTTGGATTTGAAAATCATAGATGTGGTAATTCACATTTCCATTTCAAAACTCTCAAAATGTATTTTAGCCATGAAATTGTTTAAATATACTATATTGATACATACTCTAATGGATTTATTGTTATTTTAAACATTCCTCGCTACTTCGCGTTTTGACTTTTGCGGACTTCCACGGTTTTTTCAAAGTATGATTGAACACGGAAAAAATTGCACACGACATGATTGTCAACATTAATATTACTCACGTGTTTGGACAGTACTGGATGCTGTACAGTAAAAAGTTAACAAAAAATCTTGGGACAGGCGCCGCCATTTTGTAGTTTTCTCCAAATATGCCTATACCAGGGGTGTCAAACCCACTAACAAAAGCGGGTCAAAATTAAAACCTTTTTCAAACTAAGGGCCAGTTTCAGAATCTACATTAAGTCAAGTTCCAAGATGGTGCCGGTGTGTAGGGCTGCCCGTCTCTCGCTCTCTGCTTGTATTGTATTTTTGTTATTTTTACAATGGTTGGTACAGTGTGCCGAGTCCTATTTTCAGTATGATCGTCGGGCACTTTTGAAGCTCCGTACATTTGCTGAAATTCCTGCGGAGTTTTGGTACAGCGGTCAGCACTCTCCTCCACCGATCCTGTCTGAGATTCCTGCATTCCTTCTGCGTGACCCTGGCCTTTCTCCATGGAGGAAACGTCGCAGACGTTGTGGGAAGCGTGCAGGAATTTTGGTGAAACTGAGGCAAATTGTGGATTATTCTATCAGGACTCACTCTGGATCTGATCATCTCCTCTCTGACCCGTGGTGCTCCCGGGGCCCGGCTGCTGGCCAGCTGCCCGCGCGCTCAGTCCATGTAAACACCTGGAGTTGTTTACCTGTGCGCCGCACCAGCAGACCTGGAGGAGCTGTTCTTCATAACCTGCCCCCGCTGGCGCGCGCTTCTCCTTCCACGGCTGTGTCTGCGTTGGACCCTATCAGGATGTGTTTAATCAATGCAAGGTCTGTTTCCAACAAGACGTTTATCCTCAATGACTTTTTTAAAGATCAGGAGTTGGATTTTCTGTTCGTCACAGAATCTTGGATTTCTGATGGTGAGTCCAGCGCCTTGGTGGAACTACTACCCCCGGACTGTCTGTGTTTTAATGCCCCGCGGCCATCAGGTCGGCGTGCGGGGGGGGGGGGGGGGGGATTATTAACAGTTTTTAAAGCAAACTTGGCTTGTAAACAGTTGTCCATCCCAGTGTCCCACGCCAGCTTTGAGCTAAGTGTCTTTGAACTCGGACACTCTCCTCCGGTTCTGTGCGCTCTCGTCTACCGCCCCCCTCGATCCAAGGACTTCATAAATGAATTCTCTGACTTTTTGGCTGATATCACACAGATATACACTCACTTTTTGTTTATTGGTGACTTTAATTTGCATGTGTGTTGTCAGGAGAAGCCCTTAGTGAAGGACTTTCTAGATTTATTGGACTCTTTTAATTTTATTCAGCAGGTAAACGGTCCCACCCAAGAACACGGTCACACGCTGGACCTCGTTTTAACACGCAATGTCTCTGTTTCTAATTTGAAAATCAGTGACAATGTTTTTTCAGATCACATGCCTGTATTGTTTGACTTCACCCCTCCCTTGTCATACTGCTAAGACGTGTGTTCCTGCACGTACTACTCGTTCAATTAACCATTTCACTCCTGCTCGTTTTAATGAAGGTTTTAACTCTGAGAGGATCGAACAGCTCTCGATGTCTCTTACCACTGAGGAGCTAACCTCTCAGTTCAACTCTCCCTGTTTAGATGTTCTGGACCGTGTTGCTCCCCTTAAAACCAGAAAAACTCAACTTAAATCAGAGCCTTGGCTGAATGACGTCACTCGAGCCGTTAGGCGGCAGTGTCGCAGAGCTAAACGAAGGTGGAGGAAGGACAGGCTGCAGGTTTCTTTTCAAATGTTAAGGGAGAGTTGGCATCACTATCAGAAAACCGTTAAAGCTGCCAATCTCCAACTCCCACAACCCCCGAGTTCTTTTCTCCACCCTGATCTCAGTTCTACACCTCAGTGAGCCTTCACCTCTGGAAGCCTCAACTGAGCTGTGTGAAAACTTCCTCCATTTCTTTTTAGAAAAAGTGGCAAACACCCGGTCACTCATTTCTCCACCAGCTCATGATCTGTCCATCCCATCTCAGTGTGTGGCTGTGTTTGACCACTTTGAGCCCATCTCTCTGTCTTCTCTGGAGCAGGTAATGTGCAGCATGAAGCCATCTGTTTCCCCCTTTGATGTGGTCCCCCCTCGACTACTAAAGGAAGTTTTTCCTACCCTGGGTCCTTTTATTCTCGCTATTCTGAATAGCAGTTTATCCTCAGGTGTGGTGCCAAAAACTTTTAAGCATGCTGCTGTCCAGCCCCTCCTGAAAAAACCTAACCTTGACCCCTCAGTCATGTCCAACTTCCGGCCTGTCTCCAGACTCCCATTCACCTCTAAACTACTGGAAAAAATTGTGGAGTCTCAGTTGAAACAGTTTTTGGGGGATCACGCTATCCTAGAGTTATTCCAATCTGGCTTCAAATCTCTCCATAGCACTGAAACTGCCCTACTGAAGGTTTTTAATGGCATTTCATATCCACAGGCGCAGGTGATTCTGTGCTGCTTGTCCTATTGGACCTTACATCTGCTTTTGACACCATCGACCACAAGATCCTCATTTCTAGACTGGAGCAGTGGGTG